CCAGTGGGGTCACTGGCTTTCACAACCACCTACATTTCCATCTGACCACCCACAGCTGATTAGTCAATGGTGGTGGTTCCCAAAGTGCGGTTTCTGTGCCAACAGTACCACCTGGAGCTTGTTGGAAATGTCTATGTTCTGGCTCCAGCCCACACCAGGCTCTGACCCATGCTCCAGGGTGCTAAGTCTGGCTCTGCCTTTGAGAAGTTCCAATTCTCCCCACACTGACACTCAGTGTGAATTGCTTTCGATTTTTTTGTGCATCTCAGTTATGATCTACAGAAAAAGAAAGCAATAACCACACTGGAGAACAAGTAGGTTGAAATGAACATCCTAGACGAGAAGACTAGGATCCTTTCAAAAGATCAATGAAGAGAAAATGGCAAATGATGCCTATCAGTGGGGGAGGACATGCGAGGGCAGGAATGATGTTGGGAACAGTGAATCATGCAAGGCTTGGATGACAGACAGTCACCAAGACATGGGGGAAATGATCCGTGGAAATCAAAGAACTGTGAGCATAGGAAGTGAGGGTCCATGAGCACTCGGAGAGCACAGAGCAGCTACGCTTTGCTCTAGGACTCAAAGGCAATGAGGGCACCTGCCCAGGGATGGCCCTACAGGTGAAAGCACAAGTGGGTCTGTAAAAGAACCAGACTTTGGCCTCTGTGGATAGTCAAGACAGAGGAGTCCTCCTGGGCTAACAGGAGAGGAGGGCTTCCTAAGCAGACAGCTTCCTGGCACAACCAAAGTCTTTCTTTCTTAACAGACAGAAGGGAGGGAGGGAGGGAGAGACAGAAACAGAGAAAGACAGACAGAGAAAGAGAGAGAGGGAGGGAGGGAGGGAGTCCTTGTCGGAAGTGCACAGGCAAGGGAGAGACCTTTATGAAACCAAGCTCTTACAAGTTTAAAATTCGAAGAGCAGCTGCAGATCTAGCACAGAGGGATTTATGAGCCATCGCTCACAACCACACATATCCGTGGGGGCGGCCATCCACACTCAGCTATTAAAACTCATCGTTTGACAGGAGTGACTCACACCTGCCCCCATCCCCATTCACTGGATGGGGCGGAGCTCATTCTAACAAGCTCCCAAAGGGATACTGAGGCAGATGGTCCCTAGACCACAAAGTCATTTGTCACTACAGGAGAAGAATCAGAATAGAGATGGGCAATGAGCCACAGCATATACATCACAAACTTCAGTAGGGAGAGGCATGGTGTGAAACCAAAATGTGCCACCCACTGAAGTCCTGGTTTTGGTTTGTTCCTATAGCATACGGAAGTCAGCAGTCAATGGGAAGCATCTTATATAAGTTACTTTTCTCTACACAGAACTTGTCAACAGAGAAGTAAGAGCCATATAAAAATCAACACCCCATCCCAAAGCACTGCCATGAGGTGCAGCCAGGAGCCTTCTGAACCCTTCTGCAGGGCAAAGACAGGGACCCCCTGGTACTGTAGCCCACTGGCTATAGGGTGCTAAGACCTTGGGTTTTGGTCGGGGAAGGCATAGAAGGGAAACATTCAATGCCTGATGTAGCCCTCATCAAAGCTTCCCTCTGGCCAGAAACATGAATGGAGACATGTTTGGTTTCAGTACACCTCTAACTCTTTGCTGGAAAGTCCCAGAACTACAGCACTTTCGTATCTGGTCTTGTCTACAAATCTCACACTACTCCCTTTGGCAAGCATTCCACCTCCCTATTCCTGAGTTCCTGAAAGACCTGAATAATAAGCTAGTTATAACAAAAGTGTTAAAGGATTATTGTGTCTGGGAACATTTCTCACACTAGTGACTACAGAAGACTTGTATGTAAATATGACCAAGTGATTCCATGCCCTACACATACTCTGTCTATGGGGTCAGCTTCAGGTACCTACTTGACTAACAGCCAGAGGCCACCAACTTAGCAGAGGGTATATTGTAAGTTACGAGGGATGAATCCCTTATTCCTCATTGTGTCTCTCTAGCACCTAGCAGGGTCCTAAACAGATGCTCCAAAAATAAGAATTGAATTAAAGGGTGCTTGTGCCTGATGGGAAACAACATCAACCTCTCATTCTGGCACAAAGTCTGAAACATAGAAGTCACTGATGCACCTGTTAAGATCTGGTCCTCTGGCCTCCATCCAAGACTCAGTACATCAGATGCTCTGGGATCTGCCTACATTTGTCACTGGTACCCAGGGGATATTACACACATGAAATATGAGACCAACAGCCTTATCCTCATGGGAGCTTGTGGGCACCAACCCGAAAGGATGCAATTAAGCAAAAAAGTTTGGAACAGTCACAAACACAATAGAGGTGGGCGGCTTCTTCCTCTCCATCCCAGCTGGGGCCCTTGGATGTGTGAATACACATTATCTGAGGAAGGTGGGAAGACAAGAGACCAAGGAGGAGGATAGCGGCAAACTCCCAGAGACTTCAGAAGGTCAGCCATGCTAGTTCCCCAGATGATGGAGTGCTGGGGCCCATTAACAGGTCATCATTCAAAGTAGCTCAACACAAAGCAAACACTCCACTGGAGAAGGCATCACATGGGGAGACACACTCCCTCTGTTTCACACTGCTGTCTGGCAGTCAGGCAGCAAACCACCCTCCTCCGTGCTCATCCTTACTCTTGGGGAAGCTGCAGGTCTGGCAGGGGTTATCAGCAGCTCAGCTTCTGGGATCCTGCCCAGGCTCCTGTGCCTGTTCCCTGCCTGAGAGCCTAAGAGGCTTTCCATTGCCACCCCTCCTGCATTGACAGGGGATTCTGCAACTGCTGGCAGCTGTCAAGGGAACATCAAACTCGGATGTTTATGCCAAGCCTCATTTACACAAGCTACTTCTCCCGCAAGAGACGAATGTTTAAAACAAACAGCACTTCCATATGCTAAGAGGCACAGTACATCAGCACTGGGGATCCCCAGATGGAAACACGAGGCAGGTTGGGGCAGACGCCTAAATAAACCATGTTAGGGTGAAATTCCTCGCTGGAGCAGGAGGAACCTCTAAGTGATGGCTCAGGATCCCCCAAAGATGGCAAGCTCTCCCCAAAGGAGTATGCTCAGAAATGGTCCAGACCTACACTCAGCATCATCACTGACATGCACTTGCCTTATGACCCAGCCAACTGCACTACCTGCATCCCAGCATCCCTGTTCACACACACTGTCATTCCATCAGGAGCATCTGAGGGCCCTACACATTGGGCATGGATTGCTGTGTGCCTCTTAAGTATTTCCTGAAGTCCCTGAGGCTTGGGGCTCTGATCCCCAAAGATGAGTATGTTGCCTGCAGGTATATACAAAGGTGTTTGAGAAAGGGGGTATGAAACTGGAACACACCACATGCCCAAAGACTTGGGCCACTGAGGTCTCTGCTAAGGAGCAATCTGGCCACTGAGGAAGTCTTAGATGAGAAGCTGGAGTCACCCAGGTCACAGTTTCCTCCTTTAATTCTACTTCCGGAGTCTGGGGGAGGGAGAAAGTCCATGATCTAATGTGAGCTGCATGCAGTCTACACTGCTTCCCAGACAGAGAAGAAAGGAGAAGGCAAGAGCTCCCAGCACAGGGTGGAGTTGTAACTGCATGTAGGACCCACTATGATCTGGGTGCTTGGGTTCCTCATCCCCTGAGAATCGTAACTTGAAACCTATTTTCCCATGTAGCAGTGTCAAGAGAGAACCTGTAGGAACTGATGGAGTAATGAGAACTCTACTATCCTGAATGGGATTAGTGACATTATAAAAGAAGCTCCAGGCCAGTCTGGGCAACAGCATGAATCCAAGGCAAGCTTGGTATAAATATAGAGACTTTACAAAGAAGTTAAATAAAGAACATGCAAGGAGTTGTGCTGTCCTGTCCATCGAGTAAGAACACAGCTGGAAGTCATGCTCCATCTATAAGGAACAGCCCTCAACAGCCGTGATTCTGTCGCCCCCTTCGTCTTGGACTTCCCAGTTACTAGAACCGCGAGAATTAAGTTTCCATGGTGACCCAGTCTCAGGCATTTTGTGACAGCATTCTGACTACATTGAAGTGGGACATAACACAGAAATGAAGCCCATCACCTATGTTAGTGACATCAGAAGGGCAGGCATCCCATCATATGCTGGTGTGGCAAACTTCACCTGTAAATAGAGTGGAAGGAAGGGCAGCCCTGAGGTGGGCCCCTCTCTGGGCTCTATAATACCACAAGCAGAGAGTGAGACACAGGGGGGAGGTGCTGGCCCTCTGGGAATGACTCCTGTGTCCTGAGATATGAGAATTTTTAAGCTGCTCTCAGGGATGTGGATCTGGTGTGGTGACAATGGCTGTGGGTATTCTGCAGTATACTAGGGAATCCCTTTTATTTTCTGTATTTAGCAACATGAGGGGTGGATGCCCCCAGCCATCTTTACATGGCAGGATCTTGCTAAGTGGCTCAGGCTGGCCATGAACTCAACCTGTAGTCCAGAGTGACCATAAACTTGCAATCCTCCTGTCTCGGCCTCCCACACAGCTAGGATAACAGGCCTGGCTGTAGATATGGCCTTTGTAACCTATCATAGGCTCCACTTGAGCATCTGTGGCTTGGTATTCCCACATGCAAAGGTATCTAATAATCCATGTAGGCATGAGGTCAAGTTTACATGGCCCTGAAGTGAGAGACAAAGGCAATATTAACAAGCAGCTAAGAGTCAAAGACAGGAGGTGGGAGGGGTTATCAACTTCCCTGTGTTGAGAGAAAAATCAGACCAAGGGGCTAGAGAGGTAGCTTGGTTGGTAGAGTACTTTCCTAACATGCATAACATCCTGCATTCCGCCTCTACCTAAGCTTGGATAGAACAGTGCCTGCCTATAATCCCAACACTCAGGAGGTAGAGGCAGGAGATAGGGAGGTCAAGGACTTTCCAGAATAGTGAGTCTGAGGGCAACCTGGGTTACAGAAGATCCTCTTTCAAATAACAACAACAACAAAACTGCTAGCTACAAGCAAAACCAACCCAGAGAGAAAGAAAAGTCACAAACCAACTCCGTTCTCCACCAGCGCAGAGTGGGTCCCATCACAATCACTGGCATCCTGCTCTCCGACCTGGTCATTCAAATCCAAATCTGGTTGATGGGACCCATTTCCAAAGTGTGACTCGTCCTTCTCGGAGCCAGCGTCTCCATTCTCCAAGCCATTTTGAGCCTTCTTCAGGGGCATGATTTGCAAGCCACTGGGTGTAGTCCTATAAGACACAGTCTTAGTAGCCCTGTCTGCAGCCCCAGAGGTCTTTCCTGAAGACCCCTTCTTGGGCCTGGACAGGGGAGAGTTGATTCGCTTCCGCTTGTGGGAAGCTGATTTGCTCTTCCCAGGCTCCAGAGGCTTGTGGGAGAGTCTCTCCACTGGGGGGCTGCGGGTGTCACGAAGGAGCTTAGAGGCTCCGGCTTGCTTCCCTGACTTCACCCTCTTGTCCTTGGACACATGCAGCCCATTGAACTCATCAATAAACTCTTCACAGTGCAGGAGGTGATGCTCCGGCTCCCACGTGTCCTCGGTGCTGCCATAGCCTTTCCATCGGATAAGATATTCCCATTTCCCCTTCTTGTTCTTCCTCTTGTCCACAATCCTTTCAACCTGGGAATGCAAGACAAGACAGTGAGAAATAAGGCATAACAATACATTTTCCAAAGTGCCTCAGACCATCCGATGTCTAGCTACAGATGGACAGGCAAATACTGAGTAGCTGCTAACATCAGCTACAAGAGCCCCCAGTACCCAACCTAGAAAGCTTAGAGCAGGAAATTATTAACAGAAAAGCTTGCCTGATGACCTTCAGACATGTCAAGGTCGAGCACTTGAGAATCTTTAAGACAGGACGAAGTTGTAAAATGTAGGGATGAAGCCATGTGGATTTTTTTTTGTCGAGAAACAAACATTAGGTGGCAGGTGACATGTAAGATTGTACCTCCCCAGTTACTTGACTTTAAATGAAAACCTAGAGTTCAGGTTTATTAAAAAAAAACTGTCTCATGCACTCCCTGAGAACACTTGCACTTTGTCTGGATGGCTTCCCAATTTCACAAGGTTCAGGCTAGCCCAGCCTTTGCTACTCTGAGGCTCCAGTGCTTGCTATTTTGAGTGGAGGTCTTTGTTCCCATCAATCCCAGGCAGTGAGAGCAATGTAATATTCCCAGGAGTGCTAGAGCAGAGCTGGATTGTTTTAGAAATGGCTGAAGGGCTGGGGTTTCAGCTTAGCTGCAGAACACCTGCCTTGCCTTGCAGACAGGAGGCCCTGTGTTTGATTTCCATAGTCCTGCTGCTCCCACTCAAAACTAAAACATCTCAATCATGATCATGTCCCATGCTGACTTTCTAGACTATACCCCATTGGTAGCATGCCCGTGTCCACTCTCAGTCAAAATGGCACTACAGACTTTCTTGAGAGATTCTTATTTTCAGGGCTGAAAAGCGGACTCTGAAAGACCCATCTGATGATAAATAGTATCAATTGAGCAATAACAAATAAGGCAGCATGCTAATTATCTTTGCGATATTATTGCTATTTTATACTAAATCTTTTCAAAATACTTTTGTATTTATATGTGCGTGTACGGGAGTGGGATAGTGCATGTATGGGACTTATGTGGAGGCCAGCAGAGTGTGTAGCTGGAGTTGAAATCACAGGCGGCAGTGAGAAACCTGAACTGGGTGTTAAGAACCAATCTCAGGGCCTCTGCAAGAGCAGGGCATGCTCTTACATGCTGAGCCATCTCTCTAGTCCCTGTAAAAATAAATCTAATGTACAGCTTTCATTAACATACAGTAGGCATGCCTGAGGTGGAAACTGTATGGATTGACAGCTTGAGGACCTGTCCATCACTTTTCTCCTGACATCCCAATAAAGTAAGCATCCTCTCAGTCTCCACTTTACAGTGAGGACATTAGGGAACAGAGATGTCAAGTCACTTAAGTCCCAGAGCTGCTAAAGGAAGACCTGGGTTGGAACAACTCTCACCCTAACCATTGTCTCTCAATCCCTATACCAGGCTGGCCTTTCTTGGGGGCAAGACTCTCTCAGATTGGACAAAATGGATTTGTGTCAACCAAGCAGGGTTCTCCTGGATGCAGCCTCCACAGCTGCCACACAAGAGTGTGACATGGAGGCAGACAGATGAGTACAGCACTTGTTGGGAGACTGCAGCTGCCAGGCATACTCTCCGACCCGGCAGGTGAAGAGATGGGTATACTGGTTGGGGCTTCTATTGCTGAGATAAAACATCTCATCCTAAAGAAAAGAAATGGCTTGTTTCAGATTACATCTCAGGTCACATTCCATCACTGAGGGACCTCAGGATAGGAACTCAAGACAGGCACTGAAATAGGGGCCATGGATGAATGCTGCTTAGTGGCAGCAATTTTGCTCTCCATGGCTCCCCCAGCTCGGTTTCCTATACAACTGCAACCCATCTGCCCAGAATTGGCTCCACCCACAATAGTCTGGGCCCTCCCACCTCAGTTATTAATCAAGCACATGCCCTATATTCCATTCTTAAGGCAGTGTTTTCTAATTTCAGATACCTTCTTCCTATAAATGTCTAGGTATGTGTCAAGCTGAAAAAAATCAACCAGGACATGGTACATGAGGCAAGTTGCCCAGGAGCATAAGTCAGCTTATAGTAGAGGTAGGTTTGAAGCTACTTCCCATGTCTAAGCCATGTGTTACTATCTAGAAACACATCCCCTTATATTTCACAGATAACCACATGCAGGGTAATACTGGTCTGTGCTAACAGCTGATGTATCAAAGTGAAGGGTCATTTTTATTGAACGATTTTGACATTTATTATTTATTTACTTATTATGTGGGGAATGTGTATGCCACTGTGCACATGCAGAGGTCAGAAGACAACTTGCAAGAATTAATTCTTCTTCCACTATGTGGGATCCAGGGGTCAAACTTGAGTCATCAGGCTTGGTGGCAATTGCCTTTACCTGATGAGTCATCTGGAGTGACATAAGCCAAGGATACTTTAAGAGTTCACTGACTACCCTTTCAACCTTGTTATCCAGTTGAATTTGGTTTTGTCAGTGGTGGCTGGTCAAAGTGCAAAGAATGAACATCTACAAAGTGTTCAGCTTAAATGAGACATCTGTATCACACTCCCTCCACTTAAGGCTTAAGTGTCACCATGGAAGAGGGGGCAGAAGGTAAGAGAGCCAGAGATTGGAGAACTTGAGAGAAACAGTGTCCTCTGGACACAACGGGGCCACTGTACTCATGAACGCACAGCAGTTGTGACAAAATCAAGCCAGTCAATATTCCAGCATGGAGGGGGGAGGGGGCACAAGTCTTTCCAGGCTGAGGAGCTGTTGACAGTTGATGGCTCCTGGGGAAGGCAGTGATTTTCTATAAGGGTGTGACCCCTGGAAGGTTGACCAAGCTCCAGTGGAAGGCCCACACCCATTTACACGTGGGCAGCACAAACTGGACTCAGTAGTTTGTAAAACAGAGATTGAGAAAACACAAAGTTGGGAGGAATGGAGGGTAGCGGTGGACCTTGGATGATATAGGGAGGTGGGGAGGAGCAGGGGAGTTCAAAATATATTTTATGATTGTATGAAATCCTCAAGAATTATATATCTTTTTTAAAATGTGCTGGTGCGTGCCTTTAGTCCCAGCACTTGGGAGGGTTAGCTAGGCAGATTTCTGTGAGTTTGGGGCTAGGTTGGTCTATCTATATAAATAATCTGTCCTGCAACCCCCAAGCACACAAATTCATTGACAAAAAACTAAACACTGCGTTCAAATATATTCTCTTTTTGTTGTTGTTTCTTTTGGTGCTACTGGAGACTGGACCCAGGACCCAGGACCTTGTGAAAGCAAGTAGCAATGCCCCTACTCTTCAAACATACGTTTCAGTATCCACACAATACATTTACAGGAGGAAGTTCTCATTCACTGGCATTGAACGACAAGTAAAGACTGTGTTCCTGAGACTTACAAAGACAACATGGGAGGGAGAGGTGGTGCAGTGAGAGTGATAGTGGTTGTAAAGTAATAGATACAAGGGGCCCCTGAAATGACTCATTCTGTGAACTGTGATCATCTCCCTGGTGGTTAACATGGAACAGAAGCTATGGGAAATGACGATGTGACTTTTACTGCTCTGCCTTAATAAATAAGGATCTAGCTAGGTCACACCTCCTCTTCATAATACTGCCTCTCTCGGACAATTTTAACTGATTCCTTAATTGATTCGTCTCTACTTAAATTCACCCCTTTCTATTACAATTTCCTTCCTTACAAGACTCTGCTTTAGATGTATAAACCACACAAACTCAATAATTTTTTCAAATAAAACTAGTACCAATTCACCCTGCCCCCAACCTACAGAGTCAAAGGTACTGCTAGTCAATTATAATAACACATCAGAAAGTTCCGAGGGTTTCTGAAAGAGCCTGCTGCTTTGTTTTCTTTGAGGACATTGTGGGAGAATCTCTGTGCAGGTGACAGAACAGGAAAGGGAATAAGCAGCCTGGCAGTGTCTGGAATGGTAATGTGCCCAAGGACACCAGCCTGGACTGTCACCAGCAAATTCACAGCTCTTGGAGCTAAGGGTTATTTAATAGAATGAAGGTCTCTGCTGTAGAAAGCATAGGTTTGGCTCCTGCAGTGAAGGGATTCCTCCCCCAGGTAAAGCAGAAGACAATGTTACACTGTGGATGGATTGCAGGTGGGTTGGTAGATGAATGATAAGTGGATCATGATGAATGATGGATAGATAAACAGATGCAAGGGTGGATGAAGGCATGTATGGATGGGTAGCTGGGTGAATGATGGATATTTGGATAGATGATAAATGGAAAGTGTACATAAATGGATAGATGATGGACAGATGGGCAAATAGATGGATGCACTGGTGGATGAATGCATAGATGGATGGGTAACTAGTTGAATGATGGCTAGTTGGGTAAACTGATTACAGATGGATGGATGGATGGATGGATGGATGGATAGGTGATGGATGGGTGGATGGAAGAATGAATAAATTGATACATGGAAGGGTACATGATGGATGAATAGACAGCTTACAGATGTAAGAATAGGTAGAAGGTTGAGCTCATGAAGTGATAAGCATATGGATGGATGGAAGTCACGTTAAAATGAAGTTAGTGTAATATTAAGAACCAAGGCTTCAGAAACAAGGCCATCTTGGTTAAAACCCCTATTAAATACTATCATGTATTTCTAAGCACATTTATAAATGTCTTTGGGCCTATGATGACTCATATACCAAAGAACAAGGAGGAAGTAACTGGCCCACTTCACTGGGTGATTGTGGATAATATACAAATAGGAGTTTTCACATTCCAAAATAAAAGTATAGCCTCCTATGACCATAACACTTGCTGGTGTCTATGACCAGAATGTATTCCTACCTTGCACAAAATGACCTCAGATGACAATCAGCTCTCCCACTAAGAGAAGTGAGTGTCCACCCACTTGGCTAAATCCTTCCAAGTACAGAAGATAGCTCCACACAGTAGTGCTGCTCCACAATCCAGGAGTTGTCAAGAAGGATGCAGAGTATAGACGGCTGGGATGCCACACTAGAAGGGGAACTAGTTCTGTT